AATCGGCATTGGCCAGAGGATGGAACTTGGAGGAGGCCTAATCTGTGGGATCTAATCGGTCTATTGGAGGTAATTGGCAGTAGGTGGTCTCTTAAGTACCCAGGTCCAATACCATGAAGGGCTTTATAAGTGAGAACTAGCGCCTTGAAGCGTATCCGAAGACCAATAGGCAGCCAGTGCAGCTCGCGGAGGATAGGTGTAACGTATCGCTCGCGCGGCTGTACTCTGGACAAGCTGAAGTCTCCGAATGCTCTTCAAGGGCTGCCCCTTGAAGATTGGGGGAATCCCTTGGAGCAGAATGGGAGGGGGGAATAGCCGGAAGGCTGAGAATCCCCTTCATTCCTTTTCTGTTGTTAGAATCTTGGACCAATCAACAAGTATGCCTCTAGTTCAAGTATGCCTCTTGACTGTTGGCTAAAGAGTATGCCTGAGCATTGTGGTAAAGTGAGTTCTGATGGCTGAAATGAGCACCATTTAAAGCTGGTTACAGGCTTATAAACTAAGGAAATACTTTACTTGGGTGAGAAGGCTTAAGAAGTTGCCATTTAAAGTGGCCAGATTAAAGACAACAGCTGGGAGGGGCACAGAGAACTTCTAAGACTGGACCCTCTATTGTGTTGTACCTCTGGGTCTTGGTGCCCTTATCCTCCCCACTCCTTTTAATTTGTTTTTAAAAGTTTAATTTACAAACGTGACTGTGAACACAAGGATTTGCCTTTAGTACAGGTAGTCCTCGACGTACGACCATAATTGAGCCCAAAATTTATGTTGATAAGTGAAACATTTGTTAAGGGAGAATTTTATGACTTTTCTTGCTACGGTTGTTAAGTGAATCATTGAGGTTGTTAAGTTAATAATCTGGTTGTTAAGTGAATCTGGCTTCTCCGTGGACTTCGCTTGTCAGAAGATTGTAAAAGGGGTTCACAAGATCTGGGGACACTGTAACAGTTATAAATATAAATCAGGGGTGTCGAACTCATGGCCCACGGACCGGATGACTCATGTGCTGGCCACGCCCACCCCTGCTTCAGTGAAGGGGGAAAAAGTTGGGATACGTCACGTGATGACGACGTGACCCTGATATAAATCAATTATCAAGCATCCAAATCTTTGTTACGTGACCATGAGGATGCTGCAATGGTCATATGTGTGAAAAATGGTCATAAGTCACTTTTTTCAGTGACTTTGTAACTTTGCATGGTCACTCAATGAACGATTGTAAGTTGAGGACTCCCTGTATTCTATTGTGCTTAGTGAGGCAAGTAGGCTATTTGGCATTTGGTGCTCAGATCTCACCTCTGCCTTGCAATCAGACTCTTGGCTAAGTAGTCTGAATCTAAACAGTGACACCAGCCCAGAGAAGTTGCCTATGAAGAGTACAGAAGTCTGTTTTTAAGATCTAAAGTCTAAACCCAGCCCAGCATCCATTACAAATATCCACAGCTTGGATTTGTCCATCAGATTTCACAGATGATGTCAGATTTTATAGTAAGCAATTGTTATTCTCTTTTTTCCCTTCCCCATCCCACTCCATTGAGAACTGCAGCATTCCTTTCCCACAAACAGAAACTCTATCGCTTGAATGTTCCTTTTCTGACCCTCCAGTTCTCTCTCCCTTATGAGACAAATAAGAAAAGATAGATTATTAATCATAAATCCAGCAAAAATCCACAATCCAGAAAATAATCCACAACTATTTCTTTTTATGGGATGCAGCATATAGTCCATTGATTTTTAGATTGTTCAAGCAAAAAAAAAAAAAAAGCTCTTAGGCAGCATGGGGGAGAACGCTCTTTAAAGCATTAAAAAATTTTTTTTAAAGGGTTTTTTTTCAGGAGGAAAGGTGCTATGTAAATAAAATAAATCAATGTCAGAATGTTTGCAAACAGCATGCATGGTGTTGTGCTCTCCTGGAAGAGGGTTTCTTTTTCATTCAAGAGGCAATGCCTCTTCTAAGATAGTGAAGGTATCATTTTCAAACATGCTTTCAAAGTTATTAATCCTTCCATTCATATGCAAAAGTAGCTGAGTGTAATCCTACAGAGTAATCCTTCTGTTTTCACTTTTGAGGCTGTTGGTTGAGGACAGAAAGAACCACCACTCCCTAAACCCCACTGAGCTCAATCTGACAAAGGAAGAAATATCTATATCTACACTATATCTATATATCTATATATCTATATATCTATATATCTATATATCTATATATCTNTAAGGCAGGACTAGAACTCACAGCCACCTGGTTTCTAGCCTGATGCCTTAGCCACTGGATCAAACTATCAGTGTTACATGATCTTTTCTGGAATGAAGTTGAAGGTCATGTTCTAGGTTTGGATTGAAAGAAGAAAAGAATGCCTGTTTCTCAGATGCCGCTGGTAATCAGAATGATTTGAGGTGCATAAGTATTAAATATCTGTTTTTAAGGTTAGCATGGTGATACACTAATGACTAAGTGCATTTGTGTCACATGTGTGAAGCAGATACATTTCTTGTGTCCCGTTTCAAAGAAGACTATTCTAAATTCTCTATCGATAGTTTTGAGTAACTGGCATATCTCAGACTATATGCATAAGCATGAAATACTCAACAGCCTTGTCAAAACTTGCAGGATCCAGGATCAGCTCTGTATGAATAAAACTATTTTTTTAAATTTGTGTTTGAGCTGGGCAAAAAAGAAATACAATGCTTTTAAAACTTATAATGTAACATATATATTGCAGCGGTTCCCAAACTTTGTGGCCCAGGAACTTCCCACAGTGGTTTTCTTGCAGGCAAAGTGAGGAACAAAGTCTAAGAATGCATTTGCTTCCACTTGGCCAGAACAAAAGTGATCAGGCTTTAAAGAAAATGATCACACACACTCACTCACGCACGCACACACATTCAAACACAAAGTTGGTTGTGATTCCTTGGAGGGAGAGTCTTGACCTGTAGCTTGGGAAAATCTACTGTAACATTTTGGAGGCAATATAATTCCTCCATCCCATCTTTCGAGGAGGAATTCTACAATTTTCCAAACTGTTTTAGCTATTAAAATGTCTCGGATGACATATGTATAGTACCAAATTTCAGGGCTGCAGTGCTTTGGAAAATTAACCCAACCATTTTAGTACTCCAAGTGAAGTGAGTCAGTGAGTGAGTCAGTGAGGCCCAAAGGTCCTTGGTAGTAGTACTGGTAAAAAAAAGAAAAAAAGAAAAAGAAAGAAAGAAAGAAAGAAAGAAAGAAAGAAAGAAAGAAAGAAAGAAAGAAAGAAAGAAAGAAGGATTTCCATGCTTCTTACTGCGACATGCTATTTGTTCTAGCTCCCTTCCAGCAAACGTGACAATGGACTGGAAGTCATGAAGCCCAATGTTCTGCCTGAGATGTGGTGAGAGCCTCATTGGCTTTGACAGACTGGCCTCTACTGCAAAATCATGTGAATGAAAGGGTTGTGTTGGAATAAGGAGTTACGAGAGATACAAATTCAGCTGTTTGTCTATGGAGGTTGTCAGTCATCCAGGTCATGGTTGTCCCAAAGGTGCTTTGTCAAAAGGCAACTGGACTTCCTTGGTTTTTGTTTTTTTTTGAAGACTTTTTGCTTCAATTCAGAACTTGAAGAAGTTTCTTGGATGAGAAGCAAAATATCTTCAAGGAAGAACAAGAAAAGTCCAGTTGCCTTTTGAAAAAGCATCTCTAGGTTCAACTGTTCTGGTTGCCTAGAAATACCTGGACTGTATGCCTTGGAAGTGTTTGTTTTGATAAGTGGTGAAATTCAAAAATTTATTACTACAGTTCTGTGGGCGTGGCTTGGTGGGCGTGGCAGGGGAAGGATACTGCAAAATCTCCATTCCCACCCCACTCTGGGGCCAGGCAGAGGTGGTATTTGCCGGTTCTCTGAACCACTCAAAATTTCCACTACTGGTTCTCCAGAACCTGTCAGAACCTGCTGAATTTCACCCCTGGTTTTGACCCTCTTTCATATTTAGAGTTAAGTTTTCAGGGGAGTGTTTGGACTGTTGTATGCAGTATTACAAAACCCCTCTACAATGTTTTAAGGAGAAGATGCACAGACAATTTATTGGGAAAATATTCTTCCATCACAAAGACTCTTAAAACAAGTGTTCTGCACTTTAATTCCATAGCTCAATAGGAAATACTTTCGCTATTTTAGTATGCCTGTACCATTTATCCATCTGTTGGTTATCCGGGTTTTTTATTTATTTATTCTGTTTATCAAAGATGATCTATGAGCGCTATACCATTCATTATTTGAGCTCTCAGATAAAGCTCTTCTCCCTGTCACGATTCCTTCTAAAACATCAACCAGCGGAAACTAAAATGAATGAGTAATAGAGCGCAGTGATAATTTATAAAATCTAGTGTCCAGCATGTCAGATTACTAAAGAGTTTATTTTCACCCAGGCAGTGAGCGAAGTGTTTCTGGCTATGGGAAAATAAGTATTTTGTTTATTTTTTTAAACTTTGCTTTGCTTTTATTTTGCCTTTCAGGATCAAAGGTGGCTCCCATCAAAAGCCAGCTGATTATAATTATCAGCTGATTGTTATTGTTAATAATTATCAGATTATTGTTTTTCATGTTGAAACATCTACATAAAAAAAAAAAGCTTAGAACCATCACTACTGTAAAGCAAAGGAGGCCACAATTTGCAGCAGCCACAAATTAACAGTTTAACACCAGTCATTTTCTGAATAAGGTAGATCATGCAATCCTCCCCCAAAGTCGTGTCCTCCAGATGAACTTTAATCCTTACTCCATAATCTCCTTTACCTAAAAATTATGGGAGTTTGTTGGGTATGGATGGAGAGTGCTGAAGTTGAAAAAGTTGGCTTATCGTCCTTCAATACTAGCTCCAGTGGTGAAGTAATGCATTTTCCTTCCTGAAATGGCATAACATTGTGGGGGTTATCCTAGAGGTAATGGCGGTATCAGTGCAAAAAGCAATTGGAGCTGCTGCCTAGAGCATCTAGGGGTCCTATAGAGATTCTCCACCTGTGTAGGACTGGGGTGGGGGAGGGCAGGATAACTAGCAGCTACTTAGATGAAGAAAATGAACAAATGTTGTTTGCAAACTCTTCCACTGGGTGGGGCCTGGCTTGTAGTTTGAATCTTTTAAATACGGTATACAGAATAGTTGTTTTCTTATTTTGATGCCCTTGTTTCTCTCCCTGGGATAGTTGTGGCCATTGTTATTGCGGGGTGTGTGTGTGTGTGTGTGTCTCCGAGCACTGGTAACCCTTTAAAGGAACCTATCTCCCTTATTATGGGTGATATGTGGCTGCTCTTCTTCCCTCTCTCCACTGTGGTTTGTAAATTCTAATTTTAAAAAACGTTTTTTGTTAATGCTTTTCTGCATGTTTTATGATACTTTTTTGTATATTCTGGTATTATCTGATCATTGTACCTGGCACCTCCTCTACATTCTCTGGAGAATAAGTTCTAAATTTTCAAATAAATATTTTAATATTTTCAATAGCACAGAATTGCAGTTGTGATGCGTAATGATGGTTGAATTTCTTTTAAGCCTTGCGGTAAAATTGGGCTTTACATTTGTGTTATACATGTCTGTTTCATGTGAGTGTGCATGCCTGTGTGTGTGTAGACAAAAAAAAAACCCCTAACTGGCTATCATATTATTCCGAAATCCTATCTGGAATTAAAGTAAAGTGTATGGATTTTATAAATAAATACACATTCCAGATTTTCGTTCCAATCTAATAACAATAATAGAAAGAAATAGTTGTAAGATAATAACAGCTATGTTTTGTATATGTATAACAATCTATTTATTTTTATTTAAAACATTTATATAGCTCAGCTAGTTGGTTAGCAAAATAAATGTAACCAAGATTACATTTATTTCAATGAACTGTTCCTGTACTGTATTGTTACTGCAACTGTTATATTATCAGGCATTTATTGCATTTCTATAGCAAATGACTGGAGTTTATAACAGTGCTTAATGCTATGGTGTCTAAAGAAAAAAAGGGAACTGACTGGGAATTCTGGGTGTTGCAGTTCTAACACATCTTGACCATATCAAATTAGGGAAAGCTTGAGCAACAGGAATTGTGCACCTTACACTCTGCTCTCTTTATGGATCCTGCAAGGAACTCCTCTGCCTAATAGAAATCATGTACAGCAAATTCTTTTTAGACAGCCCTGTTAAGTAAATTTGTTTTCCTCCTAGATGACTTTAAGTTGGGGACAGAAATTCTCAGACAAGATTTTCTTAATTCAAGAATGCCAAATGCACTAGATTTGGAATTTATATGGAATTCCCCCTTAGCTGTTTCCACATGTTTGGGGTGGCTCTGGCAAGAGATAGGAACACTCTGCTCCCCTCTTATTAATTACAGTAAGTAGATTGATTCCGCCTCCTGCCAAAACCTGTCCAAAAACTGCTATGATTTCTTTCTTTGTCATATAGAGTGTGACTGCCCCAGCTGCTATGATATAAATTACTTGCAGACATTTTTAATTATGTTTTTAATATCATAGCGGGGTACCTCACTTCTTAAAATTATAATATGTTTGGCATTTGAACTGGAATAAAAGAGGGACTTCTTTGCAACTGGACATAGATTTTAGCTTTCCTGCCTAGAGGGGCTTTCCTGATTCACTCTTTAATTATCTTCCACCAGTAAAAGAGGCAACTCATGATTATTAGTTGATCTATCTCGTATGTTTTGATGGATCTTGTGATCCTACTGGGAATGAACCTATACTATGGGAAGATTTATTTTTTATTCTTTAAGTTAATTGGTAAGGAAAGGAACTGATGTTAAGAGGCAGGATGGCACAGTGGTTGGAATGGAGTATTGTAGGCTAATTCTGCTGACTGCTAGCAGTTCGATGCTGACCTTCTCAAGGTTGACTCAGCCTTCCATCCTTCCGAGGTTGGTAAAATAAGGACCCAGATTGTTGGGGGCAATAAGCTGACTCTGTAAACTGCTTAGAGGGGACCGAAAAACACTATGGAGCAGTATATAAGTACTATTGCTATTGTTATGTTGTCTATTTATGAATTTTCATTTTTCTCTTTTTCTTTTGCTATTTAATATGGTTTGCATTGATTTTCTGGTTTGCCAATTTGGACCATTATTTTATATATCACCAGGCAGAGAGAGTTTAAATACATATGTGTGTGTTTGTGTGTGTGTGTGTGTGTGTGTATGTATGGAGAGATAAATACTGTAGATAGATAGATAGATAGATAGATAGATAGATAGATAGATAGATAGATAGATAGATAGATAGATAGATAGATAACGTGCATTGGCATGTTAGCAGCATTGAATGCAATGATATTTAGGCCAAAGCAAGGGTTAAAAAGAAAAGCCCATGATAGAGGCTGTTCAGAATCATCAAAGAATGCCAGCAAGTCTTAACTCCTCATGTTCCA